TGGGTTCGAATTACAGCATGATCAATTTGTTAGGAATTTGATGTCTTGATGTTCATCGTCTTGGGGAGATGATCCCAGTGTTCGACACCTTTGGAAATTCCCCGAAAACAATGCTAATGATTAAAGCAAGCGTTGTACATAAAATTGGCTAGACAGAATTATTTACTTTGGCTGTATCCGAAGATTCCGAACGTCCTGGGTTTGTTCAGACTGGTGACCACGCTATTTTTATAGGCTCTCTCCCAGAAATTTCAACTCTGCAATGAAATTTGCCTCTAGCCAAAAAGCTGATTGAAAAATAAGATGAAATTAAATAAAATTGTAAAATTAATAAAAATAGTTTTAAAAAATAATATTCTTTGTTGGCAAGGCGAAATTGATTGAAAAATAAGATGGCTACCTAACTACTTTCGATTTTTACATGCAAATTAACATAGGTGTATGTATCTCTTTGAATTTTATTTTTAATCACTTTATTACCTATTCCTTTTCCTTCTTTTTTTCTGGTACTAATTTTTTTTTAAGAAGAATCATTAATATTAATGGTCCTGACCTGGCATCCCGGCTACATTACTTTACCACCACAGTAATGTAGATTTCAAAGAGTACAAAATATATCATAACTCTATTACATCACAGAACATTTGCAGACTTATCAAATTCCTTGACTCTACGATAACTATCAGCCTGGATAATAATTCAGTTCTTCTCAAGAAGCTTAGTCCAAGAGTTCTCTTCAATCTAGTAAAGATGTTTAGCTGGTGCCTGAAATTTTTCAAAGTCTATATAATATGTAGTTCGTCTGGACATTTTCCAGGGAAATATCAATCGGGCAGAGAGAGTATTGCAACATTTCATCATTTGGAAAGTTGTATGATGGAAAATAATCCATCCATTTAAAGGTTGCTGTCACATTTTTTTAATCATTTCATCTTCAAGCCACTAGCACGTAGATGATTACAGGGTGTGGTAGTGAGAAAAAAAGACTGCGTATAGGGGGGATCGAGGAAAGGACAAAAGATGAACGGGATTCAAGAACATAGAAAATGGCGAATGACGTTGCATTTAAAGTTTTGCAGGTTCTAGTTTTCATGGAAGCAAGGAAACGGAAGTAAGTTTCACAGGTAGGAAGTGCGAAAAAATAAACTGTTCGGGTAGAAGTTGCATTGATCTATTTCATCATTAAACGGGTGGGACCTAGCTGCCAATCTAGTAACACGCTTAAATTCATGTAGTCGGAGCACCATGAGAAAATGCTCGTTAGAACAGTTGGCGTGAAAATATTTGTAGAAAAGAGAGAGGGAAGCCACGTCAGGTCGAGGAGAAAGTGAATGATGTCGGGATGCCTTTTCAGGATTGATTAAATTATAGATCCTTCTTTGGATTTTTTCAAGAACGTCGAGATGTACAGCAGGAGAACCAGGCCAGATATGACAGCAGTATTCAATGCATGGATGAATAATAGATTTGTAGATATGTGAGATGGACTCTGATGAGAAAAACCTTCTGGCACGACACAGTGACAAAACTTCCTTGCAGTAGATGTAGCTATTGATTCAATGTAGTCGTTGCACTTCAATTCAGTGGAAAACGTGAGGACGAAAAATATACAATATATGTTTCTCCTGATGACAGGCAGAAAAGATTCCCCATCATGGTTAAATGAAAGCAATTTTATTTTAGAGGCGTAAAAATTTACAAGCCATTTCTTGCCTTCGATAACCACTGTTTGAAGGTCCTTTTGTCAAATCTAACGGATTTCCTATTGAGACAGGGGTAAATGGGAGTGTTATCTAGTTAGAACTGGTAACAGCGTAGGACCCAGGATAGAGACTTGGGGCACACCCGCGTTGGTATGAAATGATCTGGAAGCGAGCTCGTTCCAAACGACCTTCATTTTACGATTTGATTAGAACGACTGGATTGTATCAAACATTCGTCCTGTGAAACCGTAGCACTTGAGCTTGCGTAGAAGACCAGCATAACAAACCCCACTGATCGCCTTTGAGATATCTAGAGCCACAGTTCGATTTGAAAGTTTTAGGTAACGGGGAAGGGACAAGTCGGTAAAGATTTTCCCAGGTGATAAATACGAGAAAAGAAACCCCAAAACATCAACCTGAAACACTAGATGTGTTCATCAGGATAATACTTTCATATGGGCGTCATGTATAGCGCCAGACTCGGACAGAAATATCTAAACTCTCATCAAAGGCTTTCTCTGTGGTTAAAAATCTGCTTCGATTGAATGTAGGACTTACCAAGGACTGGCGCTACAGAGTTCTTTGCCAAATAACAGAAACGAGATAGGTTCGCGAACTTTCAACAAGAGCAATAGCAAAAACGGATAGCGCATAAGAGATAATAATGATATAATCAAGGCGTTGATATTCCACACGACGTCAAACAAAAGGTTAGGAAGGAACCCTACATCAGTACTGGAAAGAGGAGTAAAGGATCCTAGAAACCTATTTTCCTGTAAAATTGTTTTAAGAGAAAG